ATGTTTTCCTGCACTGTTCTGCCCTCTGGCTCTAATGTTTTACATCCTCCCCATAATCGAGATCCATTAATTTTCATCCCACGCCTCCAGAAACCTCGTCCTCCTATAGCATCAGCTACTATCCTGGGATCTCTTTATCTAGATCAGGTGAAGGTGCAAATGAGGTTCTTTGAGTACAGTTGCTCTTTATCCAAAGACCCAGGAACTAAAAAGACAAGTTATTTGTCTTCCACACAGCCATTGTACCAAGATGGGACATAGGGTCAGCACTAGAGACTCTACCTGCTTTCTACAGGAAAAGAATGGGCAGCATATAGCAATCACTGATGCATAATAATTTGGAAATCCAACTAGGCATATATGGCCATATACTTGATTAGGACTGAGCCCTATTCCCACTGGAAAAAAAAATTACCACAAACAATAAATAATGTAAGAAAACTCCAATTTTTTGAAGTTTATAAAATTGTTTCTACTCCATATTGTCCATATTGTTTATCACACGTGATCACACATGCTTCCTTTTTTTTTTTTTTAATTTAGAGACAAGGTCTCACTGAGTTGCTTAGTGCCTCACTTTTGCTGGGGCTGGCTTTGAATATGTGATTCTCCTGCCTCAACCTCCCAAGTCCCTGGGATTACAGGTGTGTGCCACTGCCCATGGCTGCTTCCTTATCTTTGACATTTTCTGGCCAGGAAGCTCATTGTAATGCAGTGAACTAGATGGTCCCAGTTCTCTTTGCAATTTCCCTATAAATTACAAAGAGTTACTGGAAGTGGAGTAGTCCCTCTCCTGCAGTATTTTCTGTGATTCATTCTGCCCAAGCTTACGTTTTGGTTGGTTAATACAAGATTAAAGGAGTATTTTCTCCCTGTGTACTCTCTTCTTGTAAGTTTTTAATAAGTATGGTTTATATCTACATCCTATCTTACTAGTATGTTTGCCTGTGCCCCTTGCCAACCAGCTAGGAATATAACAGCACAACACTACATAGTACCCACAGAAACAGCCTAACTTTGTTGACAGATCCATGAGAATTTCCTCAAATGGGAATCTGGAATTTTCTGCCTGAGCTCAGCATTAATGGCTTATGTACATCAAAAGGTATTAGTATAACATTGTAAAGGTGATGTGTCAAGGAAAACAATGAGTGAATAAAGGAAGGAAGAGGATCAGAATCATGAAAGGACAAAGATATTTAACTTAACCACATCTGGCTAAGGATATTTCCTTATTAAACAAGAGAGGAAGATGATCTCAATGTGTAGTCCAAGGACATCTGGGGCTTCCAAGACTTTTAGGGGTTCTGTGACATCTAAATTATTTTCATAGTAATATTAAGAAATTAATTGCCTTTTCTTCATTTTCATGGCCTATTAAGTGTACAGTGGAATTTTCCAGAGGCTGTGTTATATTTAATCATAACACAGAATGCAGATCTAGATATGAGGATGCAACTTTCTTCAAGGAAGTCAGATATTTTTTTTTTAAATTGCAAAAATGTAAGAAGATATAAACATTTCTGTTTTGGAAAATATTTTTATAAATACTATGTTACTTATGTTTGTATATAAAGGGCTTATTACTATTATTATTATTATTAAATGATTTWAAAAAATCACTTGATTCTGTCTTAATTTTACAGATAGCAAATTTCAACAAAGAAAACACATCTAGGGCTGGGGTTGTGGCTCAGCGGTAGAGAGCTCGTCTAGCATATGCAAGGCCCTGGGTTCAAGCCTCAGCCCCACATAAAAATAAAGGTATTGTATTCAAATGAAAAAAAGAAAGAAAGAAAGGAAGGAAGGAAGAAAGGAAGGAAGGAAGAAAGAAAGGCAAAGAGTAAAGGGATCCTGAGACTAAAAAGTTTAATATCTACTGAAGTAAGAACCAGAAACTTAATAGTGAAAACCACATGATAGTAATTCTGCACATTGTGAGCTATGCCATATGTGTATATCATCAGCTTACTGAACTATGTATAGGTTCAAGCTGTCGTGGGTTACCATTTTCAACTAATCATTTTAGATATTCATTGCTTTATTACTCATAGCAAATATTTACTGAGCGTCTGGCTCCATGGCAGCTCCCACATTAGGCTTTAGGAGTACAAAAAAGAACAAGATGAAGTTGTTGCCGTCAAGAAGCTCACTTCAAGTAGCAAAAGACATGTGAACAGGCCATCTCTACAGAATGTGATGAGAGCTGTCAGAGGAGAACCGGGATCTATGTGATGTGAGAGTGGGTACTTCATCTGGGCTAGGAAAGCTGTGCAGGGAAGTTTTCCCAAAGGAAGTGGTGTCTGACCTCTGACCTGGAGGATGATTGGGAGCTACCAACTAGGAGAGGGCAAGTACTTCAGCACTGTAGAAACAGTACCTGAGGCACCTTGGTATGAACCTCTTGATTCTTAGTAGACGTATCTGCTGACTTCCGGTAAGGTGTATTGTTTGGGGGCCTCATTCTAATGAGCTTTGAACCTCTGTTCAAGGAAACTCTTCCATTCACAATATTTTCCCCTCTGCCTCTCTGACTTTATAAGCAGATTATAAAGGTTAAGCAGGGCTACCAGATGTGTGGGACTACGTGGAGCACATTTGACTGACCGGTGGGCAGGGACTCACTGAGAGTCAAACAGGGTCAGTAGAACTTGCTGCTCTGCTTGCTGTGGCATATAGAGATACAGTCCCACTCAACCATTATTCCTGTTATGTTGGTCTTAGGGGCCACTATTCCAAGAACTTCAATGTCAGTGCAGGTTTGCACAGACCCCAGGAAGCATCCCAGCTAGATGGGCAAATGCTGACACATCGCATGCAGTAGGATTGGACATCCTTGAAGCATGCCCGGAAGGGAACTCAGACCTCAGGAACTCAGTTACAGGAGCAGGTGAATGCAGTAGTCACTTGGTGCTGGGCCCCCAGAATGGGACTAGAGCAACTCTGTACCTCCTTCCTATCTTGATTGTTCTGAGAAATCACATGAAATGGGATGAAGGAAATTAGGCCAGGGAAAGAGATAAATTGTGGTATTTTTCTGATGAGCACCTTCTCCTTCTTCTGTTAACTTCAAGATAAATAAAAGACACTCGGCCTAGAAATTATAGGAAGAAATGAAATTATTTAATATGTTTCCCCAAAACTAATCTAAAAATACAATCACTCAAAAATTGCTTACTTATACTTGTTGATCATGCCTCTTCACTACCAGCTCTTCGACTTTTACACTCTACTGAAAACAGTAACAGACAAGCCTGGAACAAAAACCTCTTACGAGAACATTTTTTAGATTTTTACAAATGACTGTGGTTCACTCCACCTTCTCCCACTTCTCCTAAATCCTGGTTTATGAGCAAAAAGGAGCCCAGCACTGAACAAAGGAGCTCAAAGAGCAACAAAGCCAGTCTCCCTCCAACTGCTCTGCAGAATGCCGTGGGGGTGTGAGGGGGGAAACAGTGGCCTCCCCAGGCCCCAAACCTATATGCCATAGAAACCCTGGCCACAAGGAGAACCAATCCCTCTATTGAAAACATGAATCCTCAAACTAGTTCTAAGCATCCTGAAGGCACTGGTGCTGTTGTGGGGTTTGGGATGTGGGCTTTGGCTGCTTGGCAACCAGCTTAGGGCTCAGCAAACGTCTAACCAAGAAAAAAGCACGTGATTGGTTCCTCTGTGGGGAGTACAATAGCACCCGTAAAATGATTATAGTTAAACAAACAAACAAACAAAAAAGGCAAAGTAATTCAAAGGGTATATCAGGTCTGCTTCTAATAAAGGCAAAAATCCATCAACTGAGTGGTTTAATTTCTTCTCTGTTGCCCTAACAAACTAGCCATGTAACATTTGCTTCCCACCCTACAAAAACGCTTCCTCTTTTAATGACAACATTGCATACATTTGATTTTTGAAAGCAGAGCCCGGACTTCGCAGAAACGGCAGAGCAGGGTGAAGGATAACGATAGAAGAAATTGACCCAGTAGACTCAGATTATGGGGACTATTTTCATGTGCCAGGTATTTAAAAGTAAAGGGTTCAAAATAACATATTTTGTCAGCACATGGTTTTTGTGACTAGCTGCTGAGTATAATTTTTCCCCATCGCCTGCTTTCCCAAGTTGGTTTCATAGAAGGCTTTATTGTAATCCAGGAGCATTGTTTCCATTAATTTCTATGACAAGGAACCCAAAACACAGGGTGCTGAGAGCAACAAAACAGAGTTGGGGAAACAGTCATGACTTGGCACAAAGTGTGACAAGCTGTAAAAAAGCGAATGTTTCAATATCTGCAGTGGTGTGGATTTCCTATGAACAACCTTTTCTCTTCTAAACAGTATCATATTCTTTTCAAGCACATTTAGAACGCAAGTCAAGCTGTGTTTTATTTTTTATTATAATAAACACAGTCAGTTTACTGTAACAAAGACATACTAGTGGTGATCAGTTGAAAGCCCAAGTATAACACCATAAACTGGGCGGGGGCTGGGGTGGGGGCCAGGGGGTGGGGAGTCAACTGATAAAATAAAAGACCAGCCGTCTGGAAAGTTCTCTTAAAAGAGCATAAAAAGGCAGTGTTTTCTTATGAGACCAACACAGAATGCCAAAATATCTACTGGCTTCTTTTTTTTGTTGTTATTGTCACTTGTGGCAATTTGTAACTAAAAATAGAAAATCCTTCAAAATATTGGGCTCTCGCATTTGTTTTTGTTTTTTAGATCTCCATCATAAAATGAAAAAAAAAAAAAGTTGAACAGTCCTTTAAGTGGTGATCCTTATTCTTGCGCAAGATTCTACCAACTAGTAAATATATTGATTATACTGCTACTCAAGCTGTTTTCTCAAAAATCCTTGTTTAAAATGTTTGCCATGCATGCACTTACATTTTTTGATAAAGGCCAAATGAATAATTCGTTGTAAACAGTTGGGTATATGGAAGTTTCATGATTTAAATTACATTCTTGGATTCAAATTCATTAGGGAAAAAAAATATAATAAATCATCTTACCATATCTTGAACTACTGATTTTTCACACTCAAGTTCATATCTTAATCTTTCTCTGCTATCCATTAACTGAAATAGAGAAGAATATTACATTTTAATTCAAGATAAGAACAGAACATCTGAAATTTCGCCTCAGTAGAATTTGGCAAAACATTTTTTGATATGAGAAAAATTCATTCCCGTGTGGTCAAAGGAAAAACTAAATTTGTACAGATCATTATGTTAATGATAATATATTATTATAGGATTGTTATATAAGCAAACAAATGTACACAGAAAATGCCAATATATTTATAACCTTCCTCACCCCACCCTTCTCACAAATGTGAGACCAATACATAATAAAGCAAGTCCTAGTATGACACAAGAGCAAGTTTGCTTTACTCTTTATATAACCCATTTCTCTTAGCTTTTTGTGTTATATTTATGTGATATCAGGCCTATTCATATTGATTGAAAATAGCCACCAAAAGCCCACATACTTCACACTATTGTACCCATGTGACTTGCCTGGTACTTTAAATAATAATTCATTTGTGTGTTTTAAACACTTGTAAAATTAAACCCTTGACCTTGACATCCACTCAATTAATTCATGTACTTATTAGTTTAACAGATACTCCAAGGTCACCATCCTTGTTGTTTCAAGGTCTTTTAGTTTTCCTGGTTTATCCAAGTATCCTCTTAATGGGTCTCTCTGGCTCTACATTTTCCTACCTTCCATTCATTTTCTTCCTGTAACACAAATCTGATCCAATCACAATGTTCAAGGCTCCTCAATGTACTCTGAAGGTAATTTAAACTCTTGGCATGAATAATAATTCTTTCCAATTGTGCCTTGACCCTTGTCACCCCTTACTTTTATGGACTCTTCAGCTCTAGCAAACTACACACCCTTCGCTGCAAGAGGCTTCCTCCTTGTGCTTAGGATGAACTTCCCACTCTCCCTCTCTGCTGACTAACTCTAGCCCCTCTTCTGGGAGTCAGCCCAGTATCTTTCCTCTAGGCTTCCTGGATCTCTGACATGCCTCATTAAGTGCACCCTAGCATGCTCAGAACCCCAACTCCTGGTCTGTCTCCTTACTAGAATGAAATTCATGAGACTGGATTGTATTGTGGCCACAGCTGAAGGACAGATATGTCTATCCCTGTTATTAGATTATTGGAATTAAAACACAAAAGCTACTGAACTCCACATTGGATAGTGCTTAGCACACGTCAGTGGCAAGAGGTCAGCCTACCCAAATTCAGTTCCACTTTCAATTTTTTTTTTCCCAATTTGTTTTTAACTTCATTGGGAGGGAGCATGTGGCTTATCCTAAAATTTGAGTTGTCCTTTTTATTCTTCTGTTTCTTACTTATCCCCCTTCCCTACTCCCTAGTCTTCACCCTCTTTCGTACCCACCACAAATTCTCACCATGTGGTCTCACTTAACTCTTATTTCATTCTCTAGTTATATCAAATTGCAAACAGTTCCATGAACATATCTCACACTATAGGTATTCATACTCTGTAGCCTGGTTTATCCAAGCTCTTCTGACTTCTTACCTTGGAGTGGATCTCCCTCAGAGCAGGATGTGGGACTACTGTTTGTAAAGCCTTACCTTCCAAATGAAGCCAGGTATCTTTTTTTTTTTTCTAGGTACACATTTCTAATATGATCATATCCCACTTCTTTATGTTTTTATCTATCCCCTAGACTGGGCATCCTTCCCAGCTGAGATCATATGTGTCTATACATGCACTTTAATTATTTTTTTTTTCGCAGTAGCACAGTGTTTAGCACTGAAAAGTACCTAAGAAGCACTGCTGACTTGGTGAAGTATCATGGAAACAAACCAACAAATATCAGTTCTCATTCATTCAGCAATTCTGATCTGCTTTCTAATGGACAAATCCCTTTCATTACATTATCATATTCTACACACACTAAGCCTGGGAGAAACAGGAAGGAGGGGAGAAGGGACTTGGCTGCCCCAATGGCACATAGTGGCAGAAATGGAACAGGAACCTAGGGTTCTAGAATTTTTCTGCTCAATATCAAAATGTGCCTATATTTCATGTTTGTGTGGAGTTCCAGGACAAAGAAAGAAATAAAGAGGAAAGGATTTTTTAAAATGATCAAGCAGGTTAGAAGTGCTATATTTGTCTAAAGTAGATATGTGAAATAGAAATATAATGTGTCATATACATAATTTTGAATTTTACAGTAGCTTTGTTATAAAGGTTAAAAAAGTAACTTTAACAATGTTCATTTTCCCTGCATATGTAAAATATTATCATTTTAATGTGCAATCAAATTCAAAATTATTTGTCAGCTATTTTTCATTCTTATGTCAAATCCTTGAAATCCATTGTGTATTTGTCATCACTTATCTCAACTTGAGAGTTAAGTTTTTAGATTTTTTTTAAAATTTTAAAACTGTGTATATGAAAAAGTAGATTCACATACCCAAGCAATTAAAAATATACCTAAAGATTTTCCCCAATAACTGAAACAAGTATCAGTTATTCAATTTAAATTTAAAATAAACAAAATTTAGATTAAAAATTCAGTTCTTCATGAAAGACCTCTGCAATAAAAATTATACAACATTGAAGAAAGAAACTGAAGAAGACACTGGAAGATGAAAAGGCCTCCCATGGTTCATAAATAGGCAGAATTAATATTGTTAAAGTGACTATATTACCAAAAAGTGACATAGAGATTCAATGCAATCTCCATCAAATTACCAATGACATTATTCAAAAGACTCGGGGCAAAAGGTTCTAAAATTCATTTGGAAGAATCATAAACCCAGAATAGTCAAAGTAATTCTCAGCAAGAGAAGCAATGTTGGAGATACAATGCCTGACTTAAATTATACTATAGAGCTATTGTAACAAAAATAGTATGGTACTGATATAAAAACGTAGACCAATGGTACAGAATAGAAGACACAAACACCGGCACACAGATACAGTCATTTAATCCTTGACAAGGACTCCAAAAACATACTTTGGAGACTAGATAGACAAATGATGAGGGGAAAACTGGTTATCCGAATGTAGAAGAATGAGAGTCGATTCAAAACTCTTAGTCTGTAAATCAAAAGTCAATTTAAAATGGAACAAAGACTTAGGAATTAGACCAGAAACTTTGCAACTCCTAAGAGAAAACATAGGGTTGGCATTTCAACATATAGGTGCAGACAAAAACTTCTTCAGTAGGGAGCCCTAATTACAATAATATATATTCCATGCATGAATAATTATATCAAAATGTACTCTACTGTTATGTATAATTGAAAAGAACCAGTAAAAAAAAAAAAAAACTTCCTCAGAAGGACTCTTGAAACACAGAAAATAATGCCAAAAATTTAAATGAGAAGGCATCAAATTTAAAAGTTTATGTATAGCAAAGGAAAAAGTAAGAGTATGAAGAGGGAACCTACAGAATGGGAAACATTGTTGATGTTACTTTTCTGACAGAGGCTTAATATCCAGAATAGATAAAGAACTCAGAAAGCTTAATACCAAAAACAATAACAAAAAACCCAAATAACTCTATCAATAAATGGGCAAATGACAAAACAGACATTTCTCAGAAGAAGAAATACAAATAGCCAACAAAAWTACTAAAAAGTACTCAATGTATCAACAATTAAGGAAATGTAAATCAAAATTACAGTAAGATTTCATCTCACTCCAGTGAGAATGGCAATCATCAAGAATACAAATAATAATAAACACTTGAGGATGTGGAGAAACACTTTTACATGGTGGGATTGTAAATTAGTACAAGCACTATGAAAATCAGCATGGACTTTCCTCAAAAAATTAGGAATACAGTCATCATTTGATCCAACTGTACCACTCCTAGGTATTTATACTAAAGAATTATGGTCCGCCTACTATAGTGATACACGCATACCCATGTTTATGGCAGCATGATCCACAACAGTCTAGGTATGTGTCAAAATGGATGAATGGATGAAGAAAATGTGTTATATGTCCACAATGGCATTTTATTCAGTCATAAAGAAGACTGAAGTTATGTCATTTGCAGGAGAATAGATGGAACATGAAAGTATTATATTAAGTGAAAGAAGCCAAAATCAGTCAAGGGTCACTAGCTTTATCTCATATGTAGAAGATAGAGAACAAAAGGGAAAAAGYGGGGAGGAGGGGTGGTGGATCAATTCACAAAATTAGAATGAAGACCAGTAGAGGAAGGGGACCCAGGTGAGAGAGTATGGGAGGGAAAGGGGAGATTTTTGGGAATGAAATTGATCAAATTATACACATATAAATATGTAGCGATGAGGGGCTGGGGTTGTGGCTTCGTGGTAGAGTACTTGCCTAGCTTGTGTGAGTACTGTTCGATTCTTATACATAAACAAATAAATAAAATAGGGCTGGGGATATAGCTCAGTTGGTAGGGTGTTTGCCTCATATGCACAAAGGCCTGGGTTCAAACCCCAGCACCACACAAAAAATAAATTAATAAAATAAAATAAAAATAAAATAAAGGTCCATCAACAACTAAAAATTATACATAAAAATGTCATAAGGAACCCCACTATTATGTATTATCATGCACCAATAAAAATATAAAAAAGAAAAAAATTCAGTTCTTCAGTTGCACTGGCCATATTTCAAGTGTTCAGTAGCCACATGTGGCCAGTGGCTACCCATGACCACTATAGGTCTCAAAAGCTGAGGCAGCACTTATGATGTATTGAAACTCACACAGGGTGCAACTAGTCACTCAGGGCATGTTTCTTCCTAATTGATGACTTGCCATTGATATTTTTTTGTTTGTTTGTTTTAATTCTTTATTGTACCTCTCAGAGAGTAGGAAGCTTATGGAATTTCTTTTCGATGGTAGTAGTATAGATGAGTATTAGAAACATTTACAATAAATTGGTGTTCCCTTGTAGGTTAAGTAAAACTAGAAGCAGAGATTTCATTTTTAACCCTAGAAGTCAATGCCAAGAAGGCTGAAGTTGTCTGTTTACAAATTCTGTTGCTACCCAGTAAAAAAAGGAATCTACATCATCGCCAGTGCAACGGGGTGAAGCACAAGGAAATAAAATCGTTTTGTAGAATTCAGTGATCAGAGCAATCATTTCCCAACTCTGATCTATCGGGGTAACCATTTCTTTAAAAATTAATTCTCAGATGGGCATCATTACCCTAGGTATAGGATGATTGCACGAACAGTGCATCTGTACACCGAGTACAATTAGAAAATTGAAATGTTGTGCTCTATTTGTGTATGATAAATTAAAATGCATTCTGCTGTCATGTACAACGAAGTAGAACAAATAAAAAATAAATTAATTAAAAAATAGTTCTCAGAAGTGACTTTATATAAAATTAAAGAACATCCCAAATAGCAACATAAGACCTAATTGAAACATGAACCTAAACTTAGGCATATGTGGCCACTGTAATTTTGAAAATGTGGTTGGTGTAATAGAGAAACTGGATTTTTAGTACAATTCACAATACCTAAATTGTGGAGCCAGTTTAGGTATTGTGAATTGCAGATGCCCTTCAGTGGATGAATGGATAAAAAAAATGTGACATATATACACAATGGAATTTTACTCAGCAATAAAAGAGAATAAAATCATGGCATTTGCAGATAAATGAATGGCATTGGAGAAGATAATGCTAAGTGAAGTTAGCCAGTCCCCCAAAAACAAATGCTGAATGTTTTCTCTGATATAAGGAGGCTGACTCATAGTAGGGTAGGGAGGGGGAGCATGGAAGGATTAGATGAATTCTAGATAGGGAATAGGGGTGGGAGGGAAAGGGAGGAGGCAGGGGATTAGCAAGGACGGTGGGATGTGATGGACATCATTATCCAAAGTACATGTATGAAGACACGAATTGGATGTCAGCATACTTTATATAAAACAGAGATATGAAAAACTATAGTATATATATATGTGTAATTAAGAATTGTAATGCATTCTGCTGTCATTTTTCTTAAATTAATAAAAAAGGAGAGAAACTGGATTTTTAATTTTATCTAATTTTAACTTTAAAATTGATATTTGGTTCAGTTACTGGAAAATAAATTTATTTGGAATAATCTGGGCATGAGAATCTGCTTTCTCTCCTATATGTTTTTTAGTTGGTTTGTTTGCTTGTTTGTTTAGGGTACTAGGAATTGAACCAGGGGGCTTTACCACAGAGCACTATCCCTACCCCTTTTTGTTTTTTATTTTGAGACATGATCTCTCTAAGTTGGTTAAGGCCTTGCTGAATTGCTGAGGCTGGACTTGAACTTTTGATTCTCCTGTCTCATCCTGCCAAATTTCTGGGATTACAGACATGTGTTACTATGCTTAGCACCTGTATGGTTTTTTGAACTCTAAATACATCTTCTTCCTATTAATTCCTCAAAAAGCAGTTTTCCGGGTGCCCTGCACTTGTGCTCAGTCCTAGGAATATAACCAGAGACTGAGCGCAGTCTTTGTCCTCCTGGAGTATGGTGGGGAAGTCTGACCATAACTACAAAGTGTTTTGAGCGCCACATAGGGGAGGTACAAGACCCAGAGAGCTCAAAGCAGGGGCCCCTGGGTTGTGCATCAAGGACAGGAACTGCTATGGTCCTGCTGCATTAAATGTACTGGGAAATCTTGATTTTCATGACACCAAAAAGAATTCCCTGCTTTAAATAAAGGTTAACCAGATAACATAAGCCCCATTCATTCATATACTGAAAGTGAACCAATGTTGGAACGAAAAATAAGAGTGCTTATTCTTATTTTTTTTAGAGAGAATTTTTTTAATATTTATTCTTTAGTTTTCCGGCGGATACAACATCTTTGTATGTGGTGCTGAGGATCGAACCCGGGTCACACGCATGCATGCTACTGCTTGAGCCACATCCCCAGCCCAAGAGTGCTTATTCTTAGTAATGTAATTTCCTTACAACCATGAGCACATCTTTGGACATCCCTGTGTCCTGAAACTTCAGTTCCTTATAATCAACAAAGCTGCTGCCCATTTTACCCCCAATAAAGGGAGCATCCATACACTTGTGCATTTCCAAGACAGAACTCTAATTCACTACTACTCAAAAGAACAAGGAAATACCTAATCAAACGTATATAATGGGAAACATATGACAACTTTTCTCTGTATCTTAAGATACTCTGAACACATTGTCATTTTGCCAATGGTACTGATATTTCAATTTAAAAGAGTCATTTATCAATGTGAAAATATTACGTACCTGTTGAATAGTTCTCTGATCCTGCTCTGAAATCTCTTTGAGATTTATAATTTCATCTTCTGTAAACAAAAGGAGAGAGAGGCCAACCATGAAATTACATGCGTATGCCCTGTATTCAAGCTGCCTGCTTCAGGGCAGGCTGGGAAACCACTGGTGGGCATGGTGGACGAAAGTCCTAGCAGGACTGTGACCTTCACAACTGCCCTTGACATTCACGGCTTTCTTCCTGCTGTTCAGACGGCTGGTCAGATAGGGATTAAGAGGTAAGTTCAAGATCCAAGTGTGGCTGAGAGCTGAAAGCTATTCATCAACACTAGCAGTGGACATTTTGCTGTTAGTCACAGCCAATACAGAATGCTTTAGCAGGTGTCACTTTATAACTCAATAAGAACTACCAAAACCTGAGAAAGTACTACAGAGGAGAAACGGAGTAATGCTGGTATGGCATAATTTTATACTAAAGGAACCCCATACCATATCTCATTTGATCAATATTTTGCTATAAATTTTGTATCCTTGCTCATTACCTCCTTCTTTTCATATCAAAGATTAAGGGCGACATCATAACCATTAACTTAAGTACAAAGACAATAATTAAATGAAAAAAGTACTTTGAAGCAATCTAACTTTGATCATGTAAATTCAACTTTTACCAATATTTACAGTAGAAAAACAAGGGTATAAAGTGTACCCATGAGCATCTGATTTGAAACTTGTACAGAAAATTGAAGATAATTGAGTAGTAGCACTTTTTTAAAAGAGCTATTTCTCTACAAAGCATATCTCAATAGGTATACTTAAGTATTCAAACGCTATAGTTCAGATAATCATTTAAGCATGTGAGATAAATCAGTAAAAGTTTCTGTTTATCATATTCCTAAGTGAGGTAGAACACTGGTGAGCATGTTATTTGCAAAAGCCAATATGTGGCTTGAAAATAACACCCTGAGGTAATAAGATGAGGCTCAGGATTACAAGAAATATTTTTCCCCAAGCCTGGAGTCCTATCTTAAAGCAAAAGCAAAGATGACTATCATGTTGATCTTTTAAATGAAAATAACCAAACAAACGTATGTGTGGGAAGGACAAACTTAGCTATGAAGTGCCCAATTTTTCTCACAAATGATTCCAAAATGTTACCTAGTACTGAATTTTCTTTGATATTGAGTCGAATTTCTTCTTCCAGACCTGCAATCACTTGAAGCAGTCTCTCATTCTCCTGTTTGTACTCTGAGTTTTCCTTTTCAAAGGTTTGTCTTGGAGAGCTGGTCTCTTTGGCAAAGAGGTCCTGAAAGATAGGGAATTCCATATTTCTAAGCAGGGAGCCGAGGATTTAAATATGCAACACGGGGACAATACTGATACAGAAAGAGCTATCATATAATTTTCTGAATTCTATTACACACTTATAATATGAATAGTAAAAAGGAAGGAGACTAAATAGAGCTTGCTGGAAGAAAGGCTGCAGTACATTCTGTACAAAGCCCACAACACATGGGGACATTTTATTGACAGGAATAATGCATATCATACTGTTTGTATGCCCTCATCATTCAGGTCAATTCACTATGGAGGCTGTGTCCGGGGAGGCAGCTGGGGCCCCTCCACCCACACTTCCCTCTGTGTGTCTGAAGTGCTGTCCGCCTGTAACTAGGCAGGCTGGGGAGACCGCGGACGGGCAGCGCCAGGGGGTGGCAAAGTGCAAGGCTAAGGAGGGGGGCTTGTTGCCTTTGTGGCATTTCCCAGTGTCAGCGCTGCCAGTGTCTTGAGGAGCACATCACATGTCAAAGTGGTGACGTTTTCAGGCTGGGAGCCGCATGGAGCCCATCAGGCGCACGGATATCCACGCAGTTGGTTTTCTGCTTGGTGGAGGAGCCACCCAGAGGCAATTCATATTCTGAACATTAACATGGCTTTGCATGCCTGTCACCCGGGGACTGTGCAGGCGTTTAATGCTATTGAAGACTTCGGTTTAAATCTCTATGCAAACAGTGATTACCTTGTAAGAAGGTTTCAGGATAACTTACAACAAAAGACTTTAAAGTTATAGTTTTAGTAAAGCAAACTCATTTACATTTTTATTATGTGCGTCTTTTGTTTAAATCTTGCCATGTCCATTATGGGAGAGGCTTTTTCTTACGCAACAGAAGCTTATTGGGACAGCCACTCTTTTTTTCCCCTCTTCTTCTTGTCTGGTTCAAAGCTATTGAAAACATCTGAATATACTCCCTTATGGTTGTCTAGATTTTACCACCACACATTAAAAAAAAAAAAATTAAGATGTAATGGATTGGGGAGGCTGATGCAGAATTTAATACTTCATCGGGGCAAAATATTAAATCAGTTACATAATTTCAAAATATTAAACTCATGTTATTATGCTAAAAGAGAAAGAAAAGTCTGCAGACTTTGCTTCAAAATTACTACAGTCTTAAAATAATTTTGAATTTTAAAGTAATCTACAGGTGAATTTCAACCCTTTTACAAAATTAATTCCTTTTAAGAAATTAATAGTAATAAAACATCTGCTCAAAAACAAAATATTCCTTCTAATATACTGGTTTTCTTTTGGAACTCGACTCTTATTTAACTTTAGAGATATCAGGAAGTAAATTACTTAACTGTTTTCCCCTGTATCATAATGGTTCAAAAGAACAATAATGCTTGAAATGTTTTGTAACACATTAATAAACCTTTTAAAAAACCCAGCTTACTAAGTTATGTACTTATATATCAGAGTTAGTGGGATTTAAAATATGCTGAGTTTTGCACTAAGCTCAATTACAAATATTCAAAGTTTTGATTTACCATTTAATTTGACTTATTTGAGCCCAATTCATGCTTTACAAATAAATATTACCAAGTCTTGTAGGTAGTTAACAAACAACATGGTGTTCTTAGTGAAGGAAGAACCCTCCCTAAATAATAAAAGCCACAGCAAGAATCCCAGTCATTAACTTCTTGTCTCACACTGCTCAACTTGAGACCATCACAGAATGTAGTATAGACTAAAAGGATTTTTAAAAAACAAACAGTACTGGCCTTAATAGAGTTAAACATACATTTCCTAATAGTGGTGGATTATGAAGCTCTCCAGTGGACAAGTATCCATTATAATAAACTAAAGGAAAACTATTTGAAGAAATCAAGATGAATTGTAAAATGTACAACTAGTGCAACTAACCCCTAAATGTGTTATCTAGGAATCTCTCTGTATTGAAAGCAAGACCCAAGGAAAACACATTAAATTCAAGGGGTTTTCCTCCACCTATCAGTGTACAACCACCCTCTTTTTTGATGAGGGTAACCTTTAGCTCTGTCCCCACCATCTGTCAGCTGTAGGAACTGCAAGTCATTAACTATTCAGCCGCCCACAGCAATGAGGACACTCATTAGCAAAATGAACAAAGGGATAGTTCTGGGCTGCTATGGTTCTCTGTTACACTCTTGAGTGGCAGGTTTTGTGGTGATGTTTCTTCTGCCATCTGCCCACATCACCAATTTTGGTTTACTTAAACCACAAGATTCCTTTTAAAGTAAATTACATTAATAAAACAAGGTTAAGATGGATTGTGATCCTTAAAAGGTGGTTGATTGGTTGTAGCTATTTTTAAGTCACATTGTACTCTAAGAGAAACTGTGGGTAATCCAGGATCCTTCAGGAGTTTTAAATGTATTAAGAAACTTGCCATTCTCAAGTTTTTACTATCATACTATGAAAACTAGGACTTCAGGTAGTAGTGCATACACTATTTCTCTTGTGAATATTCACAAAACAGACGGAATTCTGGTTTCCAGGTTTCAGAATCCCAAACTGAATCTTGAAAGAATCATTTCTAAAAATAGTTGAAAAAAAATTGAGAACCTTCCTAGCTAGGGAGTGGTCTGTTGAACAGTAGCCCCAGTAGCACCTGAGAACTTTCTGGAAATACAGACTCTCAGGCTCCAGCCTGGCTCTTCTATGTCAGAGTCCATATCTTAACAACATCTTCAGTGATTCATATGAACAGTAGAGTCTGGGAAGTCCTGGTTCAGAGCACTTTATGTGACTTCTCAGCAGTTTCCCTTCTGTGATATTGGCATCTCAATTCTTCAGGATCCATGTACAATACTTGGACATCTCAATTTGATGCTGGGGGAGGAGTAGGGTTCTAATGTATGCCTATGTCTCATTACAGTCACAGAGATGAGCAGGTGCTTCCTCAATGAGTGACAACCAGGAAAGTGGCACACTAGGGCTGCGCAGCCCTGCAGAGCTGCTGGTCTTGATTGACAGCTCTGTTTCAAAGTTGTCAGCAACGAGCAGACATGTTCACCAAGGAAGGGAGGGTGTGTGATGGATCATTGGTATTTGGGTACGGAAGAAAAATGACAAGTCTGTTCAATGCAGCAACTCTGACTGAAATTAAAATACACATGCAGACACACGCATGCACACACATACTCTGACAGTCTAACTTCCTCTATAATTTCTCCAGGGGATTGATTATTCAAGAGACGGCATGGTAACCTACAGCAGTATGTAGCAAGGTCACACGGGTTTTCCATAGATTAAAAACTGTAAAGTGCTTTCCCCGAATGAAGTTGCTCTCAGAAAAAAATTCCATGTCAAGAATTTTCTCACCTGGAAATGAGGGTTCTATAACTTGAAGAGCTTCCTTTTCTTATTTCCATTTTATTTACAATAGAATTTAAACTGTTTAAAAAAAATTTTTTTTTTGGTATCAGGTATTGAACCCAAAGGGCTTAAATACTGAGCCACATCTTTTTTCGTTTGTTTGTTTTTTGGTTTTGTTTGTTTGTTTGTTTTTGTTTTTGAGACAGGGTCTTGCTAAGTTTTGTAGGGCCTCACAAAGTTTTTGAGGTAACTAGCTGTTTATTGAACTTATCCTTTCCTATTACAGTTTTATCAGATTTCTCTCAGAAACAATCCAGGAGAGAGATTATGACTACAAATTAACTATAAATTACCTATTAACTGTACAACTACTTATGTAATTTATTAGTAAGAACAAACTAGGTAATTCTAGATAATAAAATAAAGCTTGCTTATTTCAGGTCTTTTCAAGTTATTTCCAGTGCTGCTTTGAAAATTTTAATTGTTCCTCCAAATTCTGTGTTCCAAATTGAATTGCACATTAGATTTAGGTGGAGTCTCAAGGGGATTTTTATACCACTAGAGGGGGCAGTTGTATAAGATGAAATTTCAAATATGGAAGATACATCATGTAGAACTTAAGTGGCAAGGAATTTGAGGAAAGTTTGCTCTTAGATTTTAAAAGGTATTGTCCATATATTCATTTGCTAAAAATTCTGATCTACTTTTGTGGCCTTCAGGTCTAGGTTTTTGAAATGCACACTGGTGTGCTTTGAATTGCCCAAGGTCAGGAGACAGGGCCACACATTTTGTTGAAAGTGATCTATAACCTGACTAATTAGAATTACCCCAACCTCACAAATCTTAGAATGTTTACAAAAATTCTGGTGTGAACTCTTTGGGGGAAAATTATTGTGGAATACCAAGGTTTTCTGGATGCCATTGTGATCCACAGGACAGACTGATTGCACCTGAGTGGGTGCAGGATCCCACATGCTGTTCCTATGGAGCCACTGTCCATCCTCATTCTTACCCCAGAACATCTAGACAGACCAGGTAACCTGTTGAAGACAGCATTTAAAGTTGTAAAGATTTCAAGAGTGTAAGGGACTCTTACAGAATTGAGAGATTCTCAATGTCCAGAGGCCTATTGTTCAATACATTTTATAGAACAAAAGCCAGATGCTTATAAGGGTGTCTGTATCTCCCCACACCAACTAGAACTTAGTTTTTAATCTTTCTTTAAAGCGTTTAAAACTATTTGCGTTCAGTATTGCAGGTACCCTACCCTAACTCTACCTTAGCTAGGTAGGTATCACCTTGTGTTTCACACATGGGAAATAAATAAACCAGAATTTTTTTTTTTGCCACAGATAAACTTGATATCTTTGCTCAAGGCAGAATTAAAAGTTATTATAGTTTTTAGTCTTTTTCGTTAAATTATTTTCTCCAAAAAATAAGAATAGATGTAGGCTGATGCAAAGGTCAAAGAAAAATAAATGCAGAAATTGGTTGTTCTGCTTACTCTAAGGCAAGCAGGCAAAATGCTTCCTCATCTGCAAACTGAGCTGTGAGAATGAGATACCATTGATAAAATATCTGGGACCTGCTATAGGTTGAGCTTCCTTGATCTGAAAAATCTGAAACGCTACAACTCTGAAAAATTTGAGCACCAACATGATGCCAAAGTGGAAAATTATATACTATGGAGCTTTGTTTCATGCACAAAATTATTTTAAAATATTGTAGAAAATTACCTTCAGGCTATGTGTATGAGGTATATATGAAACATATAGTTCTATCCTTAAGATGTATATACAAATATTTCAAAATCCAAAAAGTTTGAAATCAGAAACACCTCTGGGCTGGTCTCAAGTATTTTGGATAAGGGAGACTCAGTCTGTAGTTTGGTATTCGGTATATTTTTATTTCCCCAGGGTTCAGAAATTTCTGCTGGACTCTCCCAATCAAACAATCATTAGCTTCTTGCTCTTAGAACCTAATAATAAATCCTTTTCTGACTCTGGGTTATGGCTGGACCTGAGATAGCTGATACCTCAGGGCTAACAGGAAATGGAGAACTTATTCTCAGGGTCACACTTTCCAAAGCCCTTAACAATTCTTCTCTTGGACAGGAGTTCAGGATCTCCTTTCTGCTTTCTTACTGTTTCCATTTTTGTTCCTGATCAGTACTTTGTCTAAGCAATAAAGCAGCTCCAAACTCCCATTGAGGAGAGGTAATCCTATGAACTCTTCCTTCTTAATATTTTTTTTATTTAAAGGTCATTCTGTTCCAACTTGGCTTCCTGGAAGCCTCTGACTTTGGAAACTTAGCATTGTGTCTTTCCAACTATCTTGATTGCAAAAAAGGGTGGAAGTTTCCAAATTTCCACAGAAATCCACTCATATGCTCTTCTAGAGTGAAAATATTTTTTTTCAGAGGATCTATGATATTATTTATATTTTCATTGTAAATAAAAAATTGAGAACAAGTATATTGCTCTTGTTTATAATTATGTGTTTTCTAGGATACGCCATTAAGCAATAAAGTGCTGAACTAGCTTATATTATAGAGAGATGTCCAAGATACATCCATTCAATTTCATTCATCCTTAACCTAAGCTTTTAGCAATCTATGACTTCATTTCCATATATTAAAATTAATCTTTATCTTGAAACTTACAAGTTTTAGAAATCCAGCTTCTTCACAACGTTCTAGTTCTTCTTTCAATTCCCTAATAATTCGTTCTTTCTCTTTCAGCTTTTTTTCCAAAATATTCAGCTTGATATTTGTTGCATCTTGCAAAGCAGCCTTCTCTTCTTCAACATCAAAATATTTCTGGGATGAAAAAAAGGCACACTATAAATCAGAAACTCAGCTAACACCACTGGAAACCATTTCTTATTTTATTTTAGCTGTTGACTTGTGAAGTGATGTTATTTTAAAAATTTGAACACAATTTGTAGTAACTCTTTTTTTACATTACCGCATATGCTAAAGAATCAGGCAATATAGCATAGCATTTTTCTATAAAACCCAAAGCGTGATGTATTACTCTAACTTTATCAGCCATGCAAATAATAATAGTAAAGAGAAAATGGCAGAATTGGAGCCCCTCCCCCCACACAGTAATATCCCCCTCAAAACAACAAGAATTTGGTAGCTATTCATCAACAAAACTGCTTTGTGGGAGCTTTGTGACCTGGGTAGGATGTTGCACAGCCCTAATGAAGGCCACGATGGAGAGGGCTGTTCTGATAAGACAGGCCTATATCCAGATGGCAGGTTCACCAACCATGATTCTAGCAACTGACCCAGAAATGGCTTCATCCCTCTGTGGACTTGGCTACAACCTGTTTGGCTTTGGTCCTACCACCAGATCCATATGTCAAGGGATTTCAAGGATTGTCATGCCTGTCAGTACCTCTGACAGGTCTACTGGACTCAGTTATGGTTATGAACCCTCATTCATCATGAACATTGAGGAATGGCCCTGTAACTCAGCTAAAGCCTCTCTCACTGTGGCTTGAGAGAAGTCTCCCTTTCCCAGGGACCCACCAGCAGTCATGTATCCATGCCCTTGGAGTTAGGCCACTGACTTCAGTTCCATATCAAATTCTGCAGTGCCCAGTAATTTAGCCCCTTTTAGCTGCCATCTGACAGCAACGGTCTCTCCTACCCAGGGAGGAAAGGCTCATACGTCTCAATCCCATTGGCTCTGCAACCCAGCTCCTTCTCAGTCCAGAACCAGATCTGTCCATCCTGAGGTTTTTTTTCAGACAGAAGTTTAGATCTCCTATTCAAATAGGAGACATACCATACATGCTGCCTGAGGCAGGTTCACTGATCTCAGTGCACTTGCATATTCTTATTTTTTAAAAGTTTTTATTTATTTATTTTTAAATTTTAAGTTGTTATATATGACTGCAGAATGCATTACAATTCATATTACACATATAGAGCACAATTTTTCTGAATCAACCCTGTGACCTAGCTCCAAACCTACTCAACTATGGTCTGGGGGCAGTCCTGCCTCCATAAGAGCCTGGCAGAAGGCAAGTTCACCTCTGTCCATGGTGTAGGTCTTCAGCCCTCAGTCTAAACTATGGACCATAAAACATCCTTATAATTCAGCTGTAGCTCCTTTCAACTGTAGTCCAGGGCCAGTACTACCTAACCAGGAATCCATCCAATGACCCAGCAGGAGCCCTTCCAGGGACTTGAAGAGAGACACTCTCATCTCTATACCTGGTAACAGACCTGTCATCTGTGGGACCAACCACGGAACCTAAAGCAAACCCTTCACCCAGCACTACCCAACTGATCAAGGTCCTAGAGGCAGTCAAGTATTTGGAGGGACTAGGAAGAGTCCAAGTCTTCTCAAGTTCCTGGTAATAAGCCAGCCAACCATGAACCCTACTGAGGACCCAACAGCAGCCACAAGACCTAACTGCAATTCCAGAGGTAATTCCATCACCTTAGGGACTCAAAAGAAAAAGTATTTACCTGCCAAAACCAGTCTATAAAGGTTGAAAACACCCATACCAACATAAGGATACATAGATAATGAAGAATCAGATAAACACGACACTACCAACGAATAAAACTCCCTTCACTAAACCTAAAGAAATGGAGATCTACAAATTGCCTAGCAAAGGATCCAAAGTTATCATTTTGAAGAAGATAAATTACACAGAAGTCAATACAGACAAATAAAACCAGGAAAATAAATGCATGAGCAAAATCAGAAGTCTAATATAGAAGGAATCAAAAGAATGAAATAGAAATTCTGAAAACTACAATAACTGAACTTAAAATTACAACAGAGCTTCAACAGCAAAAGTTCAATCATGGGGGGCGGGAGAATGAAACTGAAGACAGGTTATTTGAAATTAACCAATTAAAGAAAAAAACAATAAAAAGAATGGAAAAGAGAGAAGAAGGCAGAAAAGACCTTCGGAAYAGTATGGAGTAAATACAAATATGAAGTATCAAAGTCTCAGAAGGAGAAAAGAGAAAAGTGCAGAAAGTTTCTTAAGAGAAACAATGGCTGAAAACTTCCCTAAATCATGAGAGCTTATGATAAGAACATCCAGATTCCTGAAGCTCTAAGGATTCCAAGAAAGATCAGCACAAATAAGAATATTCTGAATCCCTACAATCAAATTCTCAAAAGTGAAAGCCAAAGAGAAAATTCTGGATTCCCAAGATGGCCGCGAATAGAGTGCATCACACCCCATGTACCGTGCCACTGCATGGGTGAATAACGAGTTAGAACGACAAAAAACTATCTTGTTAGGAACTTACAGCAACATGGGGGTGCACCGAAACCTAGAGGAAGGATTTCCAGCACCAAGGTCCGGTAATTGAGTCTCATACACGAGCCAACTGTGCGACCGGAGATCCGGGCTGACTGATCCGCGCTGCCCGCTGCGCGGCTACAGACAGTGGGGAGCCGCCGAGAAGCAACCAGCAAGCAGGGAGAAACGTTGCTGCAGATTCTGTGGAATCCTGCCGCCTGAGCACTCACGGAGCCCCGGCCTGAGTTTGGGATTTCAGATGGGGAAGGAAGTGGTACAGTTCTATCCCCCACAACGGAAACTCCACCAAGGAAACCAGTGGCCACCATCTTGAAGAGCTGAAGTAACCACCGCCACTCTCCGACAGATTGCAACAATAAAACAGGTGCGTGTTACTCAGCTCATCTCCCTTACAGCAGGGAATTTGCACAAAATCTCTCCTAGGCTCTCCAGGGGAGGGATTATCAGAGCAAACCTGCATAAAGACGCTGAGAAAACTAGAGACACCCGACCTTCAACTCCCCCTCCCATCAGTGGGGAAAACGAAACCTGTATTGCCAGCTCGGGGGGAGGGGCAAGTGGAAAAAATCAAAACAATAGAGTGCCGGGGTTCTCAATAGCCACCCTCCACGTCCAACAAACGGCAGGCCCAGAGTACAGTTTGAATGCCGAGAGGCATCACTCAGGGGAAATCTGGTATAGCAGGAGAAACCAGGACTAGCAGGAGAAACCAGGGGACTAGAGGCCAGGCCCTCGCGACTGGGTGGCTAGAGATTGCCCGCCCACCAGCGACAGCCGCCCGTTGCCACTGCAATGGGGCGGCTGGAGACCACACGCCCGCCGGCAACCGATCGCCCGCCGGCTGCCCGCATGACTGGGCAGCTGGAGACCGCCTACCCGCCCACCGGCGACCGACTGCGAGACTAGGTGGCTAGAGATCACCTTCCCACCGGCAAGAGCCAGCCCGCTGCCCGTGCGACTAGGCGGCTGAAGACCGCATGCCCACTGGCGACCTATCATCCGCCCGCTGCCTGTGCGACTGGGCGGTTGGAGACCACCCGCCCACTGTCGACAGCCCACCCGCTGTCCACGCGACTGGGCGGCTGAAGTCCACCCACCCGCCCGCTGGCGACCGATCACCTACCGGCTGCCAACGCCACTGGGCAGCTGGAGACTGCCCGGCCGCCGGCGTCCAGGAGCTGAAACCAACCAGAGACAGTCCAGTCCCACCCCCCCATTCGGACACCCCAGCAAGGAGCCTGGGGCCCGCCATAGCAGAGAGGTGAAGTCACTGGAGCTCGGCCATTGGAATTCCTTCCCAGCGAAATCCACTTTAGCAGGCATAGTCTACCAACACAAAGGAGAGACAACAGAGATATAAAAAACC